TCTCTGTGTAGAGACACATATGTGTGTATATATGTGTGTATATATATATATATATATATATATATATATATATATATATATATATATATATATATATATATATATATATATATATATATATATATATGTGTGTATGTATGTATGTATGTATATTTATGTATGTATGTGTATTTATATATACATATACATATGCATATATACATGTATATATTTGTTCAGGCTTAAATAAATGGAAAACCTAATAAGTTGGTTGTTTTTTTTTTATTAATAGATCTAATATGTTTTTGGTTAACAATACCAAGTGGAAGTTAGTCCATTAATTCTCATTTCATCTCATTAGGAATACTTCTCTGGGCATGAGAGAGTTGCTTCAAAGTTGAACAGGGAGATGGAGCAACTTGGCTACTCTTTCCAGATATGTAATATCTATATAGAGTGGGAGGATATATATAATTCAGGAATGGAACCTCATTTTGGAAATCTAAGTAGCTTAGAGTGGGATGCTTGGGATTTTTTCTTCTGTAAATTGTGACAATAAATCTGAATTACTGTAAGAGGGCTTCCTTTCTCTTCTTTCAAGGATTCTTTGGTCATCTTCTTCCCTAAAAAAAAGGACACGGAACCAAGTTCTGATGCATAGTTTACAACAAGATTCCAATGATAATTATGTAGTGCATCTTTCATGGTTATTCATAAAAATAAACATGGAACCAACTTCTTATGCATAATCTACAACAAGATTTTAATGATAATTATATATATCTCCTTTTCGTATCGGGTGCAGGATATAGACAATATGCAACCATTTATGATTTAAGATTGAATTTTCACCGGTGACTCTTCATATTCATTTTTTTTATTATTATTTTTCTTTTCTTCTTCTTTAGATTTTTCATTCATTCTTACTTGATTCTTCTTCTTCATCTTCAAATTCTGCTGGTTGTTGTTCCTTTTCAGTCTAGTTAGAGGAGGAAAGGGTGAGAAGTGTGGTTTGTTCCTCACGAGCACCCCTATTCCTGTTCGTGGGATGCTCCTCGTCCCCAGGTCAAGCCTGTCAAGTTTGGAGGCACTTGAACATTCGCGTCTCTCTTTGAGGTATCTTCGCAACACTCCTAGACGACCTCGGCCTTTGCAGTCAGAGGTGCAGCAACATTCAATCTCCCATTGTTTATTCTGAGGGCCCCACGAGCTTGAAAGCTGACTAGCAGCGCATCCAATATCTACATTTGGATCTTATTAGTCTACTAAGCATCCGTACGACACAAAGAAAGAATTGGACTCATCTTCGGCAAGAGCAAGAAGACAAAGATACCACGATGACCACCTCAGTCTAGCCCAAACAAGTGAAGCATGCCACGAAAGGCCAAGGAGGATGCTAGCTAGGATATCGGCAAGCTTATTATCTTGCTCCTCCTGCTTGATTACCCTACCCTTAGTGGTGGTCTTTCAATTCCATGTCTAAGACTAGTCTTAGCATATACTAGACAAGGAAGAACCTGTTCCTCTAGCCTTTCACTGACCTCAGCATTCCCCCAAGGGTGCGGATAACATTCAACTAGCACTCACCAATAAAAAGACATCTAAGTAACATCTGTTGAGATTTGATTCATAGTTATCTATCTAGATTGTTATCATGATCTAGTGGTTACATGATAATTTCAATAACCACTTCAATCTTGATCTCTAGTGGTTACATGATGATTTCAATAACCACTTCAATCATGATCTAGTAGTTATAAGGTGGTTTCAATAACTACCTCATGATCTAGTAGTTATAGGATGGTTGTCACTAGAGACTCTGTGTGCACTTGGTATCTTGTAAGTGTTCCTCCTGCTTTTAATATTACAACAGTTTTCTTGAGTCGAAAGGATTCTTTTTACTCGTATTTTAGTATTCTGTTGTTCCTTGCTCCTTCATCCCCAACAACATCAGTCTCAATTATACAATTAAAAATATTTCGTAATTATAAAATTTTCTTGTTCAAAAAAAAAAAAAAAAAGGAATCAGGCAGAAGTCTGAGCTTTATTCAGGCAAAGATTTACCTGCTGATCTATCGAGTTTCGGATTTGCCATTTGAGCATGTTTGATCACCAAGCTGCAAGTCCTTGGTTTCTGCCAAATAGCAGCTAAAACAGATACTGTCCCCTACAGTTCAGCTAAGCTTTTATCCCACTAGTCCTTCCATTTTGAACCCTTTTACTTCTCTATACTCTTTATTTACAGCACACAACCTTGAGGGCCAGAAGCCCATGACTTTTCAGATCCCCCACATGGATGCCGCTCTCCTCACAGCCTTTCCATGCCTCCTGCCTGATGCATGCATGCATGCAGTGCATGACAGGGGCCAGCTCTCTCTCCCCAGCCCACGAGATTGGCTCTGCAAAGTAAGCTTCAGTAGGGTGGCAGGCAATGAATGGTAAAAGTGAAGATAAAATTGTGAGCCACAAAGCTCTCTGCCCGGTCCTTGGTAGACCAGGCAGGCATGCCTTGATGAAGTGGTCCTCTGAAACAAGGACAATCGACAAGGGATCCGTCCAAATCGATGCAGGCATTCTCCACATGGGATTCTGTAACTTTCAACAGCCATCCCTCATGGCATACCTCCATCCCGGGAAACATATATTGTTCCTTGGTACCAAAGATTACACCAACGTCCAACACTAATAGTGGTATTACACATCGAAAAGGACTTCAAAGCACAAGAACTATTCACATTGTTGAACTCCCAAACACCCAAAAGCCTCACATACTCGAAAGTCATCAGAGACTACATAATGAGGATTCCATAAGAGTTTGGGTGAGGCAGGGACAATCTTTCATAACAACCGAGTACCAACAATGACAATGCTTCCGATCAGTCATCGGTAATACGTTCAAGACATATATCAGAAGCTAAGCATGAATACTCTATGATGTCCAACACTGGCACCGAGAAGCTCCGAATCACAGAGGCCACATAGAGGGCATTCAGGAGTGTGGTTTCAGAAGCTATGGAGTTGGGTAAGCATTGCCACCAGCTCATCGCTCGATGGTCGGTCAGCAGGCAAGTCTGACAGGCATACAATAGCGATTCTGATTGCCATCAGCATCTCCTCTTCTTCCATCTCCTCCCCTAGGATGCCTTTATCCAATGCTTCCCGAGCCTCTCCAGCTTGCTGCAAGTGCCTGAGCCATCGGCCCAAGCTGCCTCTCCCTGTCTCTCCTGCAAAGAACGGATAGGACGGGTCTTTTCCCGTGAAAAGAACGCCTAGGATCACCCCGAAACTATAGACATCACTCTTGTCTGTGTACCTGAGGAACGTCGGAACCAACTTCAGGGAATGCATTCATCAACTAGCGAAGCATGGGAAAACCTCAAGCATTCATGTTAAGCACTAAATTTCAGTAACCATAACAAAATAACATTGAATCAGAATTAATCCGCTTGATCGGAAAATGTTCATGTTATGACTAACAGTCTGCTTTTCAAAGTTAGCCTTAGCTCAAACAGGTCAACATATAATCTGAATTCAGGGACAGGAATTCGGGCACCATTGCACCTAGAAAACTTTGATACTGTGGTGGAGTGTATCAGCATGCCAAGAAAAGCACTCCAATTTCACAAGTACACGCTCAAAATCATAAAAGGACCATAGCATAAACTATAGCAGTAAAGGCAATGAATGCAATAGGCTAGTTTTTTTATCTAAAGTGGATTAGATAAAGTTCTGTCCTATGGAAAGCAGTCAAAATTCTCATTGAAAACCAAGCCTATTATCATGTACCACATCAAGCTTCTAGCTTTAAGAAGGAAAGGGAGTGGATCACAAGAAAAGAATTAAGGCACACAACAACTTCAGCACTGTAATTGACATCAATGCTTTAGCAGTTCATAATAATCTCAGTTGCCAAACGCAAAACGAAAGGGCTTTGTGATACCTGCAACTCTGAAAACACTCGGGAGCGACATAGTGAGTGGCGGTGCTCGGTGTATCCAGCCGAGAGTTTTCCAGCATCGCCAATCCGAAATCCCCTAATCTTGGCTCGAACCCTTCGTCGAGCATCACATTCGATGGCTTCAGACCGTAATGCAGAATCCTCCGGCTGCATTCAAAGTGGAGATACCTTAATCCCTTTGCAATTCCAACTGCAATCCGAAGCCTCGCGTCCCATCCAAGCGTCAGCTGCTGTGAGCGCACCCGCGCCATCGCGTCCTCCAGGCTTCCACCGGGGATGTAGTCGTACACCAGCCAGAACCGATCTTGATCACGGATGTAGGCCCTCAAGCTCATGACGTTCCGGTGCTTCACCCTCGCCAGCATTTCCAGCTCATGCTGCACTCTTCTCTTCTGGGAGTTGGAGTTCACAGGCGGAGATCCACTGGAGGGGCTCGGTTCGAGCCTCTTCACCGCCATGGTCAGCTCGTCGTCATCCAGGACGACCCGGTAGTACTTTCCGTTGAGGCTCGACCCGATCAACTGCATCGATTGGGCATCGGTTGAGAGCAGAGACTGCAGTGTTTTGGGGGAGATGGAGGGGCAGAACACGACGGGGCCTTTGAGAATCGGTGCCCGACAGGCATACAGGAGGAGAAGTCGAACCAGGAGCAGGATGATGATGGAGGCGACAAAGCCGGTGAGCGAGCCAAAGAGAGCGCCGAGGAGGATTCGGCGAAGGCGAGGATTATGGGGAAATTTGGGAGTCCTGGAAGGGGAAGAAGGTGCTGGGGAATGGAAGAGGGTGGGCTCAGAATGGAGGGCTTGGGAGAGGGTGCTCTCTGGGGCTTGGAACACAAGGAAGGCAAGCAAGAGGAGGGTCTTGACGGCAAGGGTTCTACTAGGGTTTTGGCTCTCCATGGAAGAGAAAGCCAAGAGCTCCCAAAAGTTAAAACAAGCGATTCCAATATGGGATTTTCCCGAGGATATGAGGTGGAGAACACAGCAAAAGAGCTTGAAAAGACATTACGAACAAAGGAGAAAGCATGAGAGGGGAGGCAACGCACAGGGTTTGAGATGGAAAGGGCGCATCTTTAGCGCGAGTTTTCGAAGGAAAACACAAGCATGAGCTTTGGGCTTCTTCTTCTCTCTCTCTCTCTCACCCAACTAGTACGAAGAAGTGTGTCCAAGATGGAAGGTTTAGCAGTATATTGGTGAGAAAAGAGATCAACAGCCCGCCCGCACAGCAACCCAAGACACTCACAAGTTTTGATGCAAAATTGAATTTTGCTTGAGCTTTTGCACCCACAGAGTAAAGAAACGAAAAGCTTGGGCTCACAGAAGACGGGAGAGCTTATCTGAAGTGGAAACAGACTAACATCCCCATTGTCACCACAGAACAGCCCCAGATTCCAGAAACCAGAAAGGTTGATGAGCTCAAAGATGGTAGTCCTGTGATTGTTGTCAGGTGAACATGCCTGAGAGAACACTACAAGGCAGCTCCTTTTTTTGTGTTTCTAGCAAAGAGGAAACGAACACAAGAAGGCAAGAACCATCGAAGCAAGAAGATGACACAAAAGGCCCTTTTCTTCCTCTTCCTCGCCCCCACCCAAAATCACAGACAACAACTCACTGCGACTCAAAAGCCCGGCATTCCATAGCCAAACACACTGTTTTTCTTTTTATTTTCCTTCAGCATTCGCCTCATGTTCCAATCCCTCTCCTCGTCACTCACCAAGAGAACCTACAAAAGTTACAGGAGACGGGTTCCGCTGCTCAAGCGGGAGAGAGGGAAAGGAGGAGAGTGTGTCTGTGAGAGTGAGAGAGAGAGAGAGCGCGATACCTTATTTTGCGTGCAGCTGGGTTCCGTGTGGCTTTGTGCGTGGTGATTTCCTCTGCTCCTCGTCGCAGATTCCTCTTCTGGGAAGGAGAGGAGCAACTCATCTCATTTTCTCCCCTGCTAAGAGTTACTGCTGCGATGCTTCTCCACTTGTTTAGCTTCGTCGCAAATCGCTCTCGCTGCCACCGCTACAGTAAAAGGATGGCCAATTTCCGCTCCGTTTAACTGGATAATGTCCTCTGGTTTTATAAATATATCCATATATTTACTATTATAAAGTAAAGTTTATATATGCTTTCAGACATGAGGAGGACAGACCATCATATGACTTTTGGTCCTAAATTTATCTTCAAGTTTATATAAAAAAAAACCCTATTATTATTTCATTCATTTTTAAGGATATGATTATAAAATATAAAAAAAAAGTGTAAATCTTTAATATTTCCCGCCTGTTTTGCTTTTTTTCTTACACTTCGGAATTGGGCCGTTTGATCGAGTGGGCCCCGGTTGAAGCGGTCTGTCGCGGTCACGGGACCCAAAGCGACGCCTCAGCCACGTTAGAATAAATATGTGTTGTGTCAGATGGAGGTTGTTTTGAGAGTTGTAGCGGATCCTCCATCGGAGTCTTTCTATAACAAAGATAAATATATGTTGTCTGTGATCTGTCATATATTTTTATTTTGTTATTAAATTACTTCTTGGATATTTTGATAATTTTACTTAGAAAAGTCTCTAGTAATTGGTTTTTAACGGATGATATTCTTTTCTGGAGACATTATTATCCCATAGTATTTTTTTTATAAATCTTAATTTTATCTTCATATTTTAAATATTTTTTAATTCTCTGAAACTAATTTGGATCATTGAACCATCAACCTGTAAGTCACTCATCCACTTCCTCTCTTCTCTCCTCCTAATCGAAAAATAATATATATATATATATATTGGAAAGAATATTAAATTAAATTGGTTTGATTTAATTAGAAACAAAGAGAATAAAAATAAGAATTAAGGTGATGCAGTGTGTGCAAATCAAGTGGAGGCTGATGATTGTGGGTGGGGTCCAGGCTTAACCTTTCCCATCCATCATTAACGTAGTATTCAAAAGAGGTGAAATCTTTTGGTTCCTGTTCGAAACCGGACAAGCAATCCGAAGCAGGGTTGGCCGAGGGTAAAGAGAATAACTTTAGTTTGGTTCGCCTAAATTTCACATTCCCAAACCATGTATGCTTCCCATCTTTATGTTTCTTGCTTTGCTTTAATTCAATCAATACTTCTTTAGCGGCCCAAGAAGCTATTGACGCCGCACGCTTAGCCCCCTTTTGTTTTTTGCGTGAAAAGGCGTGCTTAAAAGCTTGAATCAAAGGAAGAAAACATCTCCGAATTAAAAAGCTACCATAGTGGAAGGAGGAACTAATTGACAATGGTGCTTGAGTGGATGTGTTTCGATGAGGTATCCATGTGGAGGTAGAAATAGATAAGGGTGAATTTATTCCATTCCCCTTCGACTTTCTTTTGAGAAAAAGAAAATGCACTCAAGTGCATATTCTCTCCTCCACCATGCACAGAATAACTCCTTTTGAGAGAGAGCCGCACCACGTAGAAAAAGATGCTGCTGCAACTAATGTGTGTTCTCGATATGATATTATTTATTTATTTAGATTCCACATATATCATGGAGAAATAAATTTAAATATTTTATCAAGTGAAGAAGGAAGAGAAAAAAAAAATAAATTAAAAAAAAGAAGAGGATGAGTCAATGCCCGATGGGGAAAGACGAGTGAAGTCGTCTTGCGATAGAATAGAGGTGATGGTGTACCGACGATTGAAGGCAAGATGATGATGGAAAGATATTTTAGTTGAAATGGTAAAAAAGGATTGTCTCTAGGTAAAAGCTAATTAGGGGACGTCATCCAATAAAAGTCCAAAAGTAAAATAAAAAATTAAATAAAATACCTTAGAAATTTTATGAATATGGATCGAAAGATTACAATAATCTTCTATTGTGTAAGTTGAAACAGGTTCTATAATCAGATTTATGAAGTAGTTGGATTCATCCAACCATTTTGAATTACATTTTTAGTACTAATTCAATGGGTTTTCAATTATTTCAGGGATAATGGTTAGTACTTGAGTTAGATCTATTCAAGAGTTTGATTATAGTAGAGAGATAAATATTTGATTATAGTCAAATAAATTTTTTTCACTAAAAATTTATAAAATTATATGTAAGAATTATAAAATTATATCTATCGAAAGGTTGAATCAGCATATGCTAATAATATTATGGACTAGAGAGTAAAATTTTAAAGATAATAATGTAAGAATTTTTAATAATAGGATGAAAAGAGAGATAATTTTAGATGAAAATAATATTAAAATTATTTAAAATATAATGACTAATAGGTTAGAAACTTAATAAAAGAGATCCTTGATAAAATAAAAGGTAAGGGTGTAGCTTTTTGATAGGGTTAGTGGTAGTGTGAGAAAGTTCAAAAAGCAATTATCACTAAAAAAATCATAGTTTAAAGATTGATAAAATTATAAAAATAAGAAAAATTTAATAGATATAAAAAATCTAAAAAAAGTGGCTAAAAGGACTATTAATATGGCAAGATCGAGAAAAATTAAGGATCTAAATTTAATAGTATATGATAATTTTTATAATAAATTAAGTATTAAGATGGACAAAAATATTAGATTCATCAAGTTAGAGAAAGAAAGTACTAAAGATCCAGTTGCTAAAGCTAGAGAAAGAAAGTGAAAGAATTTAGGTAATATTAGATGCATTAGGATGAAGGTCAAAGAATACTTATTGATGATCATGACATTAAGAAAATATTGAAATATTATTTTTATAAATTATTTAATGAGCATTCCACACATTCTTAGCTCTAATGATAGATAATAATAATAGATTTAATAATTATAAATTTATTCATAAACTTAAAACTAGTAAAGTAAAAGAAATCTTAAAAAAGACGATAATAGCTAAAGTGTGTGATTTGATTGTATCCCTATTTAGGTTTAAAAAAGTTTAAGAGATATAAGGGCAACTTGGTTAACTAGCATATTTGACAAAATCATAAGATATCTAATGTATGGTAATTAAGTTTTTTAGTATCAATTTAGAAGAATAAGGGTGACATATAAAATTAGTTTAATTATAGAGAAATTAAAATCACGAGTCAAAACTTTAGAAAAGAGTTATTGAAAGTATGATAAGGCTTGAAACAAATATATTTGAAAACTAATTTAGTTTTATGCCTACAAGTTCAATAATAAAATTTATTGATTTATTAAGATAATTAATAAAAATATAGAGAGAAAAAAATTTACATATAATTTTTATTGATTAGAGAAAACCTATGATAAAGTGTTTAGAGGTTTATTATGGTGGATTTTAGAAAAAAAATATATTAATTATATTAATATTACTAAGGATATGGACGATAATATAATAACTAATATTAGAACTATATAGAGTGCATTCAGTAAATTTCCTATTAGTATAAGATTTCATCATTTCCTATTAATATAAGATTACATCATGGTTCCACATTAAGTCTCTATATTTCTACATAGATAATATATAAGTTTATTAGTCATTTAATGTCTTTGGTATATGTTATTTAATTATAAAATCATTTTAGTTGATAAGAGTCTAAATATAATTAAATCTAATTATGGAGGTAATCCTTAAAATATAAAGGTTTTCAATTAAGTAGGACTAAAACTAAATATATAAGATGTAATTTTACTAATACTAAGAATAGATAGGAGAATATAGTTCAATTGGATGAGCAAGAAATTCTTTAAATAAAAGTTTTATATATGTTAGATCAATTATTTAATAACATAGAGAGATTAATAAAGATATTACTTTATAAAGTAAAAATAGGATAGTGAAAATAGTGAAGGAATTAGGAGTGTTATGTGATCATCAAGTACCTTTATTATTAAAAAAAATTATAATACAATTGTTTGACTAATAATGTTTTATGAATCTAAGTGTTGGACAATCAATAAGCACCATATGAGAATATTGGAATTGATATATGAAGTTACTACCAAAGATATAAAAAAAAAATTATTTGTTAATAATCAGGTGTCACTTTGACGAAGGATAAAATGAAAAAAATTATTTAAGATGGTATGAGCATGTTTTAGGAGACCTACGAATATGATACTTAGAAGTAGTGAAATAACTATCGTTAGTGGTTAGTGGTATAGGTAAAAGAAACCTAAATAAATCTTAATAGGAACTATAAAAATGATTTGAATACTCTTAACTCAACTAAATATATGACTTTTTATATATCTCAATGGTAATAAAAAATTTATATAATAAATCCCAAATAGTTGAGATTTATAATTTTATTATTGTTATAATAAAAAATTTATTTGTCACCCTAAGTAATGGTACTGCTAGAGGTATAGGATATGGTGATGTGTTGGAGGTACATCATATTTGTACGATGAAAAATGAATACTCTTTGCGTATACTTATCATCTTCCTATGTGGTACCATCGTCAAAAACTTTGACAAAATATAGAATATGCTTGTGACTTAGGTGGTACTATTGCTTGAGTATGGTGGTACCACTGCTCTAAACAACTTTAGGCCATTTGTTTAGCCTTATAACAAGCCTAATTCGACTCATCTTCAAGCCAAATGACTTTCATGATAAGTAGATTTTGTTTTAACTCAATACCGACTTAAATTGGCCCAAAATAACTTTAATCAGGACTTTTATAAATCAACTACTTATATGATATATCTTTGAAGGTTTTTGTGCATTATCCACTCTTTCTACATATCATCCGATCTTTTGACATTTTGTTCGAATCTCTAGCACATCATTCTGTCCTCTAGTATATCGGTTTCACTACAATATCTAATATTCTATATTGATATATGTTCTTATTGGTATAACATCTGAAGTTAATTTTTAGACATTTCAATTAATCCGTCGGCTTGATGTCTAATTTTTA